TGATACAAGTATTCATACTCTTTCCTGTATAATATGCAATCATTATGGAAAGCATGTATTTTGATATACTCCAGACCCGTTGGACACAATATCTTCTTGGCCTCATAAAAACAATCTGACAATTTGTTATCTTTTGGTAATATTTGCTTTAGAAATTCAAGTAATTCCATGAAACTTTTATCCGACCGCCCATTTTTTGCCTTCAGATTAAACAACTTTAACACCACCAACAATCGTGTAAAATTTGTGCCTCCCTTATATAAAGGGGTGTCTTTATCACTATCTAAGGTATCATAAATATGGGTATCTTTAAAATAAGACTCTCCAATATCATAGAACATATCCTCTAGTTGATCCTCCATATATCCATTGCCATCCACTATTTGACTTTATGGAGCCCGACTTTCCTTTTTATCAACCTCACCATGTCACGTCCATATTATATAATTTTGACATATACCATCACAACAAAGGTGCTGGAATATTTCTTTCTTTGTACCCTTATTGATATTCGGATAAACAACACAAGGACAATAAAAGATACCATCTTTGTCGAGAAGATGTTTATCAGCATATTCAAGGAATTCAAGAACCCCTTTCTCATAAACTGGACCTAATCTATCAGCTTTCATCCAGCTACAATCCATAATAACTTCTGAAATTTATACACGTATAATAATGTGAATGACCCACCAAATCTAAACCTAAAGCATATGAAAAATGTACTCTGATACTGATTTGAGCATATATATAAAGAAAAAAGGAATGAAGATGTTGAAGAGTACCGTACTCCGAAGCTGGAGAATTTATACACGTAAAGAATAAAGATTTTGAAGAGTACACTACTTTGAAGCTAAAGAATCAAATGAACAAAGAGGGTGGATATTTGAGCATATACAATATAAACCAAGAAAAAATGAATGAAGATGTTGAAGATTACCGTACTAGGAAGCTGAAGAAACAGATGAACAAAGAGGGTGAAGATTTGAGCTCCAAATGAATGGATACAAAAAGGATAAAGATTATGCCACCTCTGTCGTCTTTGGCTTGCCTGTTCACCTAGGGTGTCTTATGAAATAAGTTTTGTTTTAATTTATCAGTAAACCCTTTAATCGCGGCTAGACAAAGCAACCCTATTGGAAACTTAAGTCCTCTAACAACGGTTGGTGTATTCGCTATTGTTAAATCATTTAGAATTTATTTTTTAAATAATGGAGATAGGTGACACATGCTTAATGTACTCATAAAAATGGAAAGAATGTAGTTGCTGGGAATCGAAGCGTGCTACGCATCATTTTTTACTATGGTGTTTAAATCAACCGTCATTAAATTACTGTTTATAAATCCAGCAACTCACTGGGCGCATAAATTTTAACCTATCACTCGATGTATATGAATACATTGTAACCATGGCGTTGTTGTTTGCTCATTTTGTAGTAGTGAAAGCGCGTGTGATATCATAACTGTTATGCTTAACAACCATTATGATATATACTGTATTGGGTTCAAAACTTAGTAGCAAATAAATTACATTAGTTCACGGTTAATATAGAAAACCATCGTGGAACGTACCCATAGTTTATTATATACTAATTTATATTGCTTGTTTTATCATACACCTCATTAAAGAAATACAACCATTAAAATTGGTAAAGAATTATATAATCTGAAAATTAAACTATTCTTGAAATCCTACTTTATGTCCTAATTAATGGTAACCCCATTGGTAATATCATTCCTACAAGGGGAATCTGACAAGGATCCCATTTCTCCTTATCTTTTCATTATTTATGCTGATATTTTCTACGCCCTTATGAAATATGCTCAAACCAGTAAACAGATAATTGTTATTAAGATTTCTAAATTAGCTCCTAATAGCACTCGTCTTCTCTTTGTAGATGATAGCCTCCTATTCTGCCAGGCTACCATAAAAGAAGCTACTAATCTTAGCAAATTTTTTAAAGACTATCATAATAGCTTAGGACAGTAGATAAATTACAGCAAATCTGAGATGCAATTTAGTCTCAAGACTAATTAGGAGGACAATTAAAAGTTTCAAGCCATTATCAACATCCCTATTGTCAGAACTATACAGAATTACCTGGGGCTCCCTAACCAGATTAACAAATCTAGGAGCCAAATCTTTGGCTATATTGTTGATAGAGTCAGAGAAACTTAAGTCATGGAAAGAGAAGACCCTATCTTTTGCAGGCAGATCCACTCTTATAAGATCTATGGCTCAAGCTATTCCTAGTTACCTCATGAGTACCTTTCTTCTTCCTAAAGGAATGTGAAAAAGGATTTAAAAATTACTAGGAAAGTTCTGGTGGGGAGAGGACAAGGTCCATTGGAAGAAATGGGATGACCTTTGCATCCTTAAAAGTGATGGTGGGCAGGGATTTAGAAGTATTAAACACTTCAATAAAGTAATGCTAGCCAAACAAGTTTGGAGGCTCCATACCTCTTCCCATTCTTTATGTCTAACATTCTTAAAATTAAATACTATCCTCACTCAAATATCTTGGATGCTAAACTAGGAAACAACCCTAGCTATCTATGGAGAAGTCTGCATAGTTGTATTTGGATCATTAAACAAGGTAGCTATTAAAATATTGGGAGACGGGAATTTTATCAACATCTGGGAGCATAACTGGATTCCAACTCACAGAAGTCTAAAAATCCTCTCTAAGAAACCTAGGGAAAACAAGGTGGAGCGGGTGGAACATCTTATTGATAAGGTCACAGGCAAATGGAAGGAAGAGATTATCGAATCTCATTTCAACAAAAGTGACATAGAAGATATCCTTCAACTCCCCTTAGACAACCTCAAAGAGGAGGACTCTCTATGTTGGAAGGCCACTAAAAATGGCAACTATAGTGTCAGGTCTAGCTACCATAACATCATTGAGTGGATGTCCAACCCTAATTCAGCTAGTAAGAGCAACAACACTGATAAAGAGGTTTGGAAAAGGATCTGGAGTAGAAAGTCTACTTTTAGACAACAAGTTCTAATATGAAAACTTATCCATAACATCATCCCTAGTAAAGCCAACCTAAACAAGAGACGGATCCCTTGCAACCCTTTTTGTCCTAGATGTCCTGCCACTATGGAGAGTTCCAACCATTGTTTCAAAAATTGCCAATGGGCTAAGCACATATAGTTTGGATCTCCCCTCAACCTTAATTTCTATAACTCTCAAGAAGAATTTTCAGATTGACTTTTTTACAATCTGAAACATCTTTCACCCTACAACCTAGCTTTCCTCATCAACCTAGTTGATGGTATCTGGCTATCCAAAAACAAGAAGATTTTTAAAGAGCATAACATAGTTGTGGAAAAGACCATTTCTAAAGCTATCAACAACACCCAACTCTACTTCAAAGCTACCATGCATAACATACACAAGAAAAATAACACCAAAAAGTAGAGTAATCAAAACCCAAACCAGGACAAGGCACCAACAACTGCAATTACCTTGGAAATAAGGCAACAAAAGCTCAAGGGGCAGAACCGACATAAACAACCACAACAGCAAGATCAGGGGAAATTATCAGAATATAAGACATGCTGATAATAACAACACAAACATCCATCAACAACAGAATAACCAAAGTACCTCAATTGCTTAGCAAACCTCTACCTTTGATATGGAGCCTACAGAAAATAACAACAAATTCAATGTCAGAAGAACAAAGAGACATATAAGAAATAAAGACCTTCAATTCAATTTTAGTAGACACCACAGTAATCTAGACAGTACCACTACCTCTAACAATAACATGAGGAGCAAAAACCCAGAAGAGCCACAACCTGGAAACAATAACCATAACATGATTGTTTGAAACATCAAGAATAGTATCAGACAAACAGACCTCAACAACAAAGACCAGAGTAAAAAGTACGAAACCTTGTCCAATCCAAAGCCTAAGAAGAAGAATATCTCAACAAACCTGAAGATGACAACAAAATCCACAGACAATATCCACATCTCGCATTCCTACACAAACAAATCAGATGATAATCAGCCTCGGAGGATACACACACCTAATTATCAAATGACTAATAAAGATAAAAAAAAGATAACTAAAACCCTTGAGTCTCGACCATACCAACACCGAAGAATACGACCCACGCTCGAGCAATCACATGCAATGAAGAAGACAAGCAATCAATAATCAAATTCAGTCAAATAACAAAAACAACAACAATATCGCAAGGAACAACAAAGGTAAAATCCCTTACCTTATAAACCAAAGATGCGAAGTTCAAATCAACACTGATGCTAGCCTCAGATTCAAAGGAAGGTGGGGGCTGAGAGCGGTCATATGTAACGACGATGAGGACGTGATGAAAGAAATAGGATAGAGTAGAAAAGGTAGCGACGATGCTCTAGCAGCGGAAGCAATGGCGATCAAGTTAACAGGTGCGCATACGATTCACCGTGACTACCTAAACATCTTTTTAGCATCAGAAACTAAAACCTTGTGAAGCTTCTCAACAACAATCACATGCAAGAGACTAGATCAAACATCACAATGATTCTGCGAAAACGCACACGTTTTCTCCATATGACAGTTCATCATGTTTGCAGAGAGGAGAACATTAAGGCTCATGACACAGCTAAGGCCGCTGCTGATAGACCTATAACCCAAATTATATGTCACCATGTAAACAATTTCAATTGAGTAATAAATTGATTAATAGTTTTTATCAAAAAAATCATACAAAAAATTAAACTAATATAATCTTATGGTTCTGAAATAAACTAGACATGGTGGTTTTTATAGTCCAAACTATACATAAAATTTTTCCTATGCTATTACATCAAAAGTTTTCCCATGTATCAATCAATCATGATCCTAACCATAATTAATTCTAATATTTACATATCCACCTAAAAACCAAAAGAATCCCAATACAAACACTAAACTATCCCAATACAAACACTAAAATGCACTAACTAATTTGTCATATGAACAAAATCCCAAATTTCTAATCATCATCCTTCATCATTGAGTGCTAAATTAGCAGTTCGATTTCTCTTCCCATTCCTTAATCTAAACAAACTATAAATTTTCCTCAAGTCCTTAACCGTAGAGAATCCGTCCCCTCCACAACGAGAACCTTGCTTCTGAGATTCCTCCACGTCATTACCCTCTATCTGCCGTACGATCACATCCCCAAAACCTCTCCCATCACCGTCCATTTGTAACGCCCCGATAACCGATTTAATAGCCCGACTCGGCGAGTTCCGGTGTGCAATCATCAACTCGCTGATCTCCGCCGCGCTTAAACTCGCGCCGAGCCGGAAAATCTCCTCCACCTGCGGAAACAGCTTGTGGTCCTTCACTCCTAGGTAATTACACGCTAGCGTCTTGAACGACGAGAAATCACACCATGAGAAATGGATATGAACGTCGACCCGGCCCGGTCGGAGAAAACCCGAGTCAACACATTCCTTACTGGTCATCGTGAAAACCAGAATCCTCTCCTCCCCGCAACACGAACTCAAGATTCCGTCCATGAAATTCTGAATTCCGGCCACCGTAACCGCCGATTCCTCTGATAAAAACCTGTCGAGATCCTCTACTAGTATGATCGATTTCGGCGTTGTTCCGAGTAAGAGAAACTTCAAATCCGAATCTCCATGAACTTGAGAGAGATCCACATCATATACATCATAAAAAAGAAAATTCGCCATTGCAGCAACAAAGCTCGATTTACCGGTACCGGAAGGACCGTACAACAAGAAGTTCCGTTTCCAGGCACGGCCGAGTCGTCTGTAATACGGTTTCGCTTTGAGAAACGATTCGAGATCGGTTTTGATTTTGTTCTTGAGATCATTTTCCATCGCCATGGTGTCAAACGTTGCTGGATGATTAAACGGAACCGATTTCCATCTCGTTTTGGTTCCGTTGTCTCCGGTGATGTTAGCGAATAAGCGTAAGTTGCGTTTCGCTAAATCGTCGGAGACATCGTGAATATGTTGGAGATAGCTTCTGAGGATTCTTCGTTTATCGGTTTTTCTGATCTTGAGAAGGAAAACATCGGTTTGATGACCCGGTTCGGTTTTATTGTTGAACCAGAAGAGATTAGCACCGAGAAAACGGTCTTCAATGATTTGATTCGAGTCTAGAGATAAAACGATGTCGTTTTGGTTGTTAACGGAAATGAGGTTTGTGAAATCAGAATCTTCGAGAGAAGGAAGAGAATGTAAATAGAGAGAAACTTTACGATATAACTCGTTTCGTTGCATGTTTTCGTTGAACTCGGGGACTTTAAGGTATTGATAAACGTAGAAACAATCTTGTAGTTTTCTATGAAGTTTCTTCGTGGCGTATATTAATCCGGTTTTGAATAATAGCCATCGGATTACGAAACAAATGATAGGAGTAGTGAGAAATGAGAGAACAATGAGTTTGTAATAAAACATGATAACAATAACGATAATAACAAGACACAATCGGCGTTAGGTGTTGTTATTGTTGTTTGTGATTGTGTTGGGTTTTATAGAGTTTAGATGTTTGGGTTATATTCTTCATTGTTGTGAGAGTGTTGGGTAGATTGTGATTTTGTTTTTGGGTTTAATTGCTTGCTCTTTTCTGCGAATGTGTTTGCAGAAGAGACAAGTATGTAGAGGTCTATTTGAACGTGTTTAGTGTAATTTTGGTCTCGTAATCTGCCTTCTTAAATCCCTTTCAACGCTGAATTAGGTAAAATATATACATGGAATGTTTTTAATTTTAATTTTTTAAAACCAGTTCAATGTTTTTTTTTTGTTACCAATAAAAATAAAATACAAATATTAATTAAATAAATATAAATTATTAAAATTATAGTTTAATTTAAATATTAAATATAATTACATATTTTTTAGAATAACATGTAATTAAAATTATATATATTCAAATGATTATAATTTAGTATTAGATGATTTAAAGTAAAAAATTTCAAAAAAATGTTTAAGGATTGAGTATTATTTAAACTCTCAAAACATTCTCTCTAAATCATGAATATAGTTTATAATCATTTTTTCAACATGTCATACAATAAATGTAAATTATATTACTCTCAAAATAATATAAATTCAACTATTTATATTTTAATATGTGTGATTTTCAAATACAAAAAAATAATATGTGTATACATTTTATAGTTTTTTAAATCTTATTTTTATATACATTTTATATTTTAAATATAATATAATAATTTGATTCATGAATCAAATAGGAATAAAGTTTATTTTAAATTTATCCTATAATTTTATGGCTTTATTTATCAAAATAAAATTATTTTATATTTTAATTGTATAAATTATTTATTTTAAAATTTTCCGAATATTAAATCAAATGAGTAAAACTAATAAAATTAATTGTACAAAATTATGATTATAAATAATGAATAATATTTGAAAAATAAAATATTCATATAATTTTATTTCAAAGTATTATTAATTATATGACTAAGTACTTATATAATTTAATATGTTATATTTATACAAATAATTGATATTAATAACTATTACTATATATATTTCCTATGTCGATAAAATTAAATTATGTATATTTAATTTTTGAAAAAATATATGAATATTTATCATACATTCTATATTTTGTATTTTTTATCTAAAATATGATTTTTTTTTTATATTTTATATATAATTTTCTTAATGGCTAAGTTATTTTATCTTATATTATTTAAAAGTGTAAATGAAAATTGAATTAATATTTATTTTTATACTTTCATTGTAAATTAAAATCTATTATTATTCATAAATTTTGTGTTGCAAAAATTTCAAAAGTAAATAAATATTTTTTGACTTAAATAAAAATAAATCAATGATAACTTCTTTTTTTCTTGAAAAAATAAATTTCATTATATAAAATAAATAAAAAAAAGAAAAGAAACTACTGTACACTATTTATTTTTGAAATCTTAGTATCCACATGTATACACTATATAGTATCTTATTTTAAATGTCATTCTCTCAAATAAGGTTAACGAATCCCTACTTGAAAAAACACATTTAATATTGGTTAGATATGAACTATATATGTGTGTGTCGACCTATAAAGTCGGATGATGAGGACGTCTATACATACAAGAATTCTTAAGAGTTGCGTCGGTATGTATATCTCAGATCCGGGTTGGTAGACGTCTCGGAGTCGGGTCGTTAAGGTACTTAAAGTTGGTTACAGACGTTATAGTACTTAAGGTCGGTTACAGACGTTACATTTATTATGAATGACAGTTACAAGTGTTATGAAGTTGATTAATGATCATTAGATCACAAATTACACTATAAATAGGGGCTCTCACGTGAGGGATAAGCAAAAAAATCTTCTTAGATACACGCATATCATGATCGTGCCACCTGAATCCCTCGACCTATCCAATATCTCCCTCCGGGATCTGAACCGATGAATAGCACAAAAAGGAGTGAAATTCTGAAGGCTTCCAATAATGGTGTCCCTCCATTCTTCTTCTCCAAACCCTCTCAAACACATTCATAGTTGCAGCCTCGACGAATTAGCTTCTGAGAGGTTATCAAAATGTGTTCTGCCGGAATATTTGATGCCCACCGTGGAGCCTATGTAAACTTTCCTAGGCCACACAATAACCAATTTATTTTGTTCTCAAACATGTCAGGTGTAACGCCTGATAATTTAATTAAATTATTTTTCGAATTAATTATTGATATTGTGAAATGCTGATTTAAGTTGTCATGTTGTTAGTTGATTATTTGGTTGATTAAGTTGTAGAAATAGTATTGGAATAATACTAGATTTATTATATGAGCTTAATTAATGGTTGGTGGTAGTAAAAGTGGGGGTGTTGAGATTAGGCCCAATGGAATTATTGAGAATAATAGTGTTATTATATTGATTACGTTGAATAAGAAAAAGAAATTAGATGTGGCTGTTAGGAAAATAGGTTTTGTCAAGTAGAAGAGGAATAAGGGTTGGAAGAGAGAAAGAGAATGTAGAAGTTGTAGAGCAAAGGGAAGAGAGGCAAAGCTATGTTCAATCGAAGAATTGTAGAGCGGTCTTCAATCCAAGGTAAGGGTGAGGTTTTAACTCTATAACAGGGTATATGATATATGATATGTGGGGAAGTGGTTCATATGAAAAATTTGTTCTGTGTGTGTAAACAATGTTAAATACTGTGTTGAATTATTATTGTGTTCTTGCTGTGGATCTGTATAAAATTGGTTGTCTATGAACACTGATATTGCTGCACTGTTTTATCGATGTTAATCGAAGGTAAAAAAATGAGTATTGGAATCGATTACAGAGAATTCTGCGTAAGAGAAAATCTGGAAACCAGAAAACTATACGGTGCCGAGGGGCACACAGACTGTGCCGGATGGCACAAAAAGTAAAAGTGTGTCGAGGGGCACATTATATTATGAAGGGTGTGTCGAGGGGCACATCATGTTTTTCAAGTATCTCATTTAGTTTTATAATGTGTTATTTAATTGGTTATTTTTGTTAGTTACTGTAAGCATGTGATATATATATATATATATATATATATATATATATATATATATATATATATATATATATATATATATATATATATATATATATATATATATATATATATATATATATATATATATATATATATATATATATATATATATATATATATATATAAAAGGAAACCAATAATGAAACATAGGAAGCTGATTAATTAATTTAGTACAACCACTACATGAACATATTTAACACAAAATGAAGAAGTTACATAACTTATATATTTAGCAGAATATCATAATATTCTTATATCAGTAAATTAATTAGCAGAGTAGTAAATTAGTATAGTTGTTTTAGTAGCAGTAAATAATAGAGTATTAATACATAGCATAATTGGTTTATAACAGAGATGGTTAGTATGAAAATTGTAGAGTTGATATTTAACAGAGCTAATTAGTTGGATACTTTAGCAGCAGTAACTGAGAATTAAATATAGTAGAGTTAATTTAATGGAGTTGGTATATGTATATAGCAGAATTGAATAACAGTGTAGTATTAAGTTGTCAGAAAACTAATAAGGAATATTAGTATAAAGTAGAAATAATAGAACTTTTAGCCGAGAAGTAATTAACAGGATTTAGTCGATTTGTCTGAATAACTATACGGAATAATTGTTGTATATTTTAGTTGATACAGTGTGTTGAATACTTTGTTGAAAAATATGAATTGCAGGTGGTATTGAATTGTTAGGCTTATGGCCAATGTTGTTTTCTTATTGATGTTGTTGTCGGATTATTATTGTTGATATGTTATTGTTATTATGACGTACTAAGTTGTAGGCTTATGCCAACGTTGCGTTAATTGTTGTTGTTGAAATATCAAGTTGTAGGCCTATGGACAGTGTTGAATTATTATTAAGTTGTTGTTGAATTGTTGTTGTTGTGTTGTTGTTGAATTGTTGTTAAGTTGTAGTTGAATTGTTGTTGTTGTGTTTTTGTTGAATGGTTGATGTTGTAGTTGTTGTTGTCGCATGCATATCATAACAAGTTGGTCTGGATTGGCAAAAAGTTAAAGTTGAAGGTTTAAGCCTTGTTGATGCCTCTATTAATTGGCAATTTCTAAGTTGGGAGTTCTGCTTTGTTTCTAAGTTGGGAGTTCTGCTTCGTTTCTAAGTTGGGAGTTCTGCTTCATTTTTAAGTTGGGAGTTCTGCTCCACTGGTACCACATGCATGTGTATCATAACGAGTCGCATTTCGGGTCGCATATTTGAGTTGTTGTGTTGATGAAATTGTTATTATATTATGTTGATAGTTGTGTTTTGATAAACATTGTTATAAAGCTGTGAAATAGTGATTTTGTATGATCTAATTCTAATGTATTATTTATCACGCATGCGATTATATTGTTAGATATCTCACCCCTTTTGTTTGAATGTTATCCCTACGTTGGTAACGTGCAGGTAATCTAGAGTGAAGACTGTTTACCTTCATTAGTTTGGGTCAGGTGTCGCCGCTCTGATACGTAACACTCGAGGAGATGAACGCTTGATGCTTTGTTATTAACTTTAGTTCTGTTACTAAATTTTATGTCGGTTTCGTTGAGTACTTGTTATTTTAAAGTTGTTTTAAGTTGGACAAAGATGTTATGTCCTTTTAAGTTGAATATTATGAATCCGCTGCGTAGTTATGAAAGTTGTTGGTTTTAAAGGACTACATTATGTTTTTCATCCGTGTTTATGTGTTATGTATCTGTTTTACATGAGATTAAATGTCATTGTAATAAGTTGAAATTGTAGCATCCTGATTTGTATGATGGAATTTTATGACTCTTATTTTTATAATAATCGGCGGGTAGAATTAGGGTGTTACATCAGGGGTATCCCATACAAGTGAAGATCCGCCATTAGACATGTCCCAGTTGTTAGAAATGGTAGAAGCATTGAGGCAGCAGA